AGGAGTTTTGCTCATTACCCAGGCTGGAGCGTAATAGCGCAATCTCAGCTCACCACAACCTCCGCCTCCTGGGTTCAAGCAATTCTCCTGCCTTAGCCTCTGGAGTAGCTGGAACTACCAGGTGTACACCACCATGCCCAGCTAATTTTTGTATTTTTAGTAGAGACAGGGTTTCACCATGTTGACCAGGATGGTCTCGATCTCTTGACTTCGTGATCCACCTGCCTCGGCCTCCCAAAGTGCTGGGGTTATAGGCATGAGCCACTGCGCCCAGCCCACATGCACCTTTAACACCACCTTCCATACCAACACCAATTCTTCTGCAGTTTGAAAATGATTATTATTTTTTTTTAACAAGACACTGCATGTCCTTTATGTAAATGCACCCAAGAATCAGAGTTTATTATTATTCAGGTGACCTAATTTTTGAATCACTTATTCTAGTGCAATAATGATTTCCTAGAGCTTACTCCCAGGAAAGCTCTATTCCCACCTTCTGCCATCCCTTGAGGTGACTGGGACTTAAAATAAAAAGAAGACTGCCTTGTGACATGTACCTTTTGTTTTCAATCTGATTTTGCTTTTTGCTAAAAGAAGAAGAAAAAATAAGCGTTCACATTTCACCACGTCAGTCCTGGTTGTATGTTTCCGTCATTCAGTGGAATAGCAAGGAAACAGTCAATTTCATGGTACTTTTCCCAGAAGCGAGGACAGCATGTAGTTGCTGAAACTATGCTGAGGATCATAGAGAACCGGCAGCAAAATTTCAATCTTCCCTTTATAATGGCTTGATTAAAATCAATTTACTTAATGGAATAGTCTTACCAGACCATTCACCTGAAGTACAAGATGTCCCTGTTTTTCTCCTAATTTAGAATCTCAAAAAGTAAAAATGAAAGCAGTACATACTTATGGAAAAGTTAGAAAACAGAGATGGGCGGCCAGGTGTGCTAGCTTGTGTCTGTGAACCCAGCACTCTGGGAGGCCAAGGTGGGCAGATCACTTGAGGCCAGGAGTTCAAAACCAGCATGAGATCAATATGGTGAAATCGTGTCTCTACTAAAACCACAAAAATTAGCTGGGTGTGGTGGTGCATGCCTGTAGTCCCAGTTACTCAGGAAGCTGATGGATGAGAATTATTTGAACCTGGGAGGCGGAGGTTGCAGCAAGCTGAGATTCCACCAGTGCACTCCAGACTGGGCGACAGAGCTAGACTCTGTCTCAACGGAAAAAAGTAAAAAACAGATGGGCCAATAAAAATAAGTTACGACAGCCCCAAATCTCACACTCCAGTAACATACTGTCATTTCTCCTTCCCAACTCTCTCGCATGGATATAAAAATCATGTCTGCGAGTACTAAGATGTATGGGGAGCTACACTAAGCACCACAGACGCCGTGACTTCTTTGATCCTTGCAACAGACTAGAAAATAGGAATTATTAATATTGTTCCCATTTTACAGATGAAGAAAGAAGGCTCAGAGTGGTTAGGAATGTTATCTGCTCCCTACTCTATCACAACAGCTATAATGAAGCTGAGATACAGACCCAGGCACTGCAACTCCAGAGCCCACACCTGAATGCTAGGCCACACTGCCACTTACAACACACACAGCAATGTGTGTAACTGTCTTTTTGCACTCAGCCATATACCATGAATACCCTTATGTCCGTATGTACAAGTTATCAGGAGTCTCCGTCATTATAAATGGCCCCATAACATTCCACTGAATGCATATACCATAATTTAACCAGTCCTCTCTGATGCCTGCCTTCAATTTTGCATTACCATGAACAAGCCATGTGTGCATCTGCATGTGTTTATAATGTTTATGCACTTGCCTACTTACAGAATAAATTCTTAAAAGCAGGATTGCTTGGTTAAAGTCATCTGTTGACATCATCTAGGAAAAGGCAGATGTCTTTCAACTTTGCTTTGCTCTATGTATCCTTGTTTTGTAGTTAGTCTCTCTTTTCAACTATCAAAGAGAGACAAGGAAAGCTTCATCTATCAGTCTTTTCTTTTTTTTTTTTTCGACTGTTCCCTTGCTATTCCACTGAATGATGGAAACATACAAGCAGAATTGACATGGGGAAATGAGAACGCTTATTTTTTTTTTCTTCTTATTTTAGCGAAAGGCAAAATCAGATTGAAAACAATGGGTACATGTCACAAGACAGTCTTCTTTTTAATTTGAGCCTCAGGCTCTGTCGCCCAGGCTGGAGTACAGTGGTGCGATCTTGGCTTACTGCAACCTCTGCCTCCCAGGTTCAAGCCATTCTCTGCCTTAATAGTAGCTGGGGTCTCTACATAAAATCAGCCTGGGCAACATGCTGAAACTCCATCTCTACAAAAAAATACAAAAAATGGCCAGGCACAGTGGCTCACGCCTGTAATTCCAACACTCTGGGAGGCTAAGGTGGGCAGATCACGAGGTCAGGAGATCAAGACCATCCTGGCCATGGTGAAACCGCGTCTCTATTAAAATACAAAAAATTAGCCCAGCATGGTGGCGTGCACCTGTGGTCCCAGCTCCTCGGGAGGCTGAGGCAGGGGAATCGCTTGAACCCAGTAGACAGAGGTTGCAGTGAGCCAAGGTCACGCCACTGCACTCTAGCCTGGCGACAAAGCAAGACTCCGTCTCAAAAAAAAAAAAAAATTAGCCAAGAATGGTGATATATGGCTAGTATATCCATGCTAGCCAGGCTGGTCTTGAACTGCTGACCTCAAGTGATCTGCCCGCTTCAGCCTCCCAAAAGTGCTGGGATTACAGGCACGGACCACGATGCCCGGCCTATCACAGTCTTCATGTTCTACAAAAATGGCTTCTCAGTCTTGGAAGAAAAAAACCATATGTCTGCTATGATTCTGATGTCACTTCAATTCCTGACAATACTTCAACTGGCAAAAAAAAAAAAAAAAAGAAAGAAAGAAAAATATTCTTATAAAAGCAATGAAGCATCTGAGTTTTAGTTTCCTTCCATAAAATACCTGCTCTACAGACTTTATTGATTATAAACACAAAAGGGGTATATAAAGGTAAGTGAAGAGGCAATAATGCTTGTTGGCCACGGAGCCCAATTCTATGGGTTTGTATCAAGTCACCAACCCCCTTCTTTTTTTTTCTTTAATGAGGCGGTGTCTTGCTCTGTCACTCAGGCTGGAGTGCAGTAGTACAATCACAGCTCACTGTAGCCTTGAACTCTGGGGCTCAAGTGGTCCTCCCATCTCAGCCTCCTGAGGAGCTAGGACTATAGGTGTGTATCACCATGCCTGGCTAATTTTTTGTATTTTTTTTGTAGAGAGATAGAGTTTCACTCTGTTGCCCAGGCTGGTCTCAAACTCCCAAAGTCAAGTGATCCTCCCATCTTGGCCTTGCAAAGTGCTGGGATTACAGATATGAGCCACTGCACCCAGCCACCAACTGCTTTCTAGCTGTGTGGCCTCACTTAGGTACATGGCCTCTCTGAGCTACCACGCTCCCCTCCCACAGTTATTAAAATGAGACAATTTCAGAAAAGCACTTAGCACAGAACCAGCCACCATGGCAAGCCCTCTATAAAGGCTGGTTAGTGCTGACACTGCTGACGCTGTTATGTAAGGGTCCTGTTTACATTAAAGGGCACAGCGTGCAGGGGCTGCCACCAGACAGGAGGTGAGCATCACAATGAAGCCACCTGGTAGTTACCTCGGGAGCATGGTAGGAGATGCACTGGAAGATCCAGTCCATGGCAGGCGGGTATAAGGGGAGGTATGATGGGAGCTCCACTCCTTGGACCACCAGCTGGTTCTGGACCGTATCCCCATGAATCTATAGGAGACCAAACAAACACTTAGAAAATGAGGGGAAAAAATCAAACAACAAACAAAACACACACAGCTCACAGACTGTGCATACTCATAAGCATGTGGATAGCCCTGAGAGAAATAGCCTGGTTTCTCAGTCTTTTTTTTTTTTTTTTAAAAAAAAAAAACAGAAAAAAATGTATGCAGAAAGTTTCTCATATCACCAAGCTGAGCCATTTTGGGAATAAGCGCTGTGGAAAGCAGGAGCCTGATAAAAATGGAGCCAGCAGATGCTAAGAAGCAAGTCTGATCGACTGGAGACGTTTCCTGTTAACACATGCATATTAACTTTCTCCGCTTCTTCAGTACAATCAACACATTTTAATTGTCTCCAACAGAAGCTAGTGTAATCTTTTCCAGGGCTTGCACATTTAAAGGGCTTAAAGGCATTCTCAACTTGGAAAACCAAATGGGTTTTGTGAATTTGCTATCATAGAACTGTTATATCTATTAGCTATTCTGACAGTGTTCTCTTACCTGTTTGAACGTAAGGAGGAAGTCAAAAAAGTTCTTATTTAGGCTTTCTTTGAGATGTGGGGCCACTTCCATTCCCACCTACAGCCAGACAAAAGAAAAAACTGGTTGCAAATAATAACTACAGTATGATTTTACTTTTGTAAATTAAAATATATTTACCTATGTTCGTAGACATGGAAAAAGTCTAGAAAATTAATTTTTTTTTGTCGCCAGGCTGGAGTGCAGTGGCGAGATCTCTGCTCACTGCAACCTCTGACACCCTGGTTCGAGCGATTCTCCTGCCTCAGCCTCCTGAATAGCTGAGATTACAGCCACGTGCCACGATGCCTGGCTAATGTTTGTATTTTCAGTAGGGACAGAGTTTCACCATGTTGGCCAAGTTGGTCTCAAATTTCTGACCTCATGATCCGCCCACCTCGGCCTCCCAAAGTGCTAGGATTACAGGCATGAGCCACCGAGCTCAGCCTTCTTTTCTTTTTTGAGACAGAGTCTTACTCTGTTGCCTAGGCTAGAGTATGGTGGCATAACCTTGGCTTACTGCAACCTCTACCTCCCGTGTTCAAGTAATACTCCTGCCTCAGCCTCTCAAGTAGGGAGATTACAGGCATGTGCCACCACACCCAGCTAATTTTTGTATTTTTAGTAGAGAAGGGGTTTCACCATGTTGGCCAGGCTGGTCTCGACTCCTGACCTCAGATGATCCACCCACCTCAGCCTCCCAAAGTGCTGGGATTACAGGCGTGAGCCACCACACCCAGTCTATTTTCTTATTCAATAAACATGTATTGCTTTTATAAGAAAGACCACAGAAGCTATTTTTAATGAAAAAAAAAAGGGCAACATTTACAGTACTCTTCGTTGCTATTCCCCAAAGGCACTGAATATATTTCTGAACAGATAACAAATCAATGCGGACCTAAAAAGGAATGTACTCTCAAGATTGTGTATACAAAAAAAAAAAAAAAAAAAGATACACACACATGTGGTTGTATACTTACTAGATGAAGCACAAAGATCACAGTATGTGAGAGAGTCGGCTTGGATTTCAGATATGGTGCTGCCCCCGTTACACGGTTAGTTAAAAGCTATACAAATTCATTCTTTGCAAGGCAGCAATAAGAGCAGACACAATTTTAAAACATTTTATGCCATTTTATATAAGATGAGCACGAAGTTTAACAAGCTATAATCCAGTGGGTCCTGACTTCATTGTTTAAAAAACAGACTGTAACGTTTCTAGCTGAAGAAATTTACTAATCACAGAGAAGGTGCCAGGCACTGGGGTTAGATGGAGAAGTGGTGGGATGAGCTATGGAGAGGGGTTCATATGTTTAAAACACATCATAGCGTTTCTTAAACTAAGCTCCTCAGAAACACTTCAATTCCAAATTGCTGCTTAACCACAAAAACAACTTCGTAGGCTGGGCTGCGGTGGCTCACACCTGTAATCGTAGCACTTTAGGAGGCCCAGGTGGGCGGATCACTTGAGGTTAGGAGTTTGAGACCAGCCTGGCCAACATGGTGAAACCCTGTATCTACTAAAAACAAAAAAACTAGCCAGGCGTGGTGGCGACACCTGTAGTCCCTCCCAGCTACTCGGGAGGTTGAGGTGGGGGGATCACTCGGACCTGGAAGGTAGAGGTTGCAGTGAGCCGAGATTGCACCACTGCACTCCAGCCTTGGCAACAGAGCAAGACTGGATCCCTGTTTCCTCAAATGGGGATAGAATTCTCCAGTTCACCTTCCACTACCCAGAGGTCATGATGGGTAACAATAATGTTTTTCAGATGGCATTTGAAACCAGCAGGGCGTGAGCATTCCAAGAGCAGCTCTATGGTTGTTGGGTACAAGCAGTGCCGTTTCCAAGGACAAGCACATAGATTTAAAAAAAGCACACACACACTAACAAAAAACATCAGATCCAGTTCTACCGTGTTCTGATTCTCCTTCCACTTAATATTGCAGAAAAGACAATAATTATCTGTTAGGTGACAGCAAAAGCTGGCCATGGAGATGAGCTGAAGGGGCCATGGCTTAGGAGTTAATCATACCTTCCTTTAATAAACAGCTTCAGGCTTCCCCCACACTCCACCCACTCAGAGCTTTTGTTTTCTGTTTTTCTCTTCTCATCGGGCCAAATGGGCAGCTTGGATACCTGCTTGGGTTTAAAAGATTTCTACCCAGAGTGGCAAGAGTATTGCTCATGATTCCCATCTGCTGTTTCAGCCTGCCCAGCATTCATTCCCCGTGTTGTCTGCAGATTAATCTCTGGAGAATCAAACCTTCCTCTCAGACCATAAGGTTTGTGGTAGAGCTGGATCCACTCCACCCTGAGTTCAAGGCAGGGGCATGTGACCCAGGCCCAGTCAGTAAGCACACAGACCCCAATCCATGGCCACAGCAACTTGTCTAGGGGTGAACAAGCAACCTGAAGTGATCCCCCAGAATCGGCCGTGAGGCTCTGGCTAGATTTACTGGCGAGAAGACACACTTTCCCAAGCTGGTAGGATGGAAACCAGAGGCCGCTATGGGCCATCACATAAAAAAAGCCACAGAATGAAGCCAACTCAGAGGAAAGCAGAGCTGAGCGATGTGAGGAGAGGCTAATTCTTGATGGCATCCTTTGAGGCCCTGAATCCAGCCATGCCTGCAGTACCCCGGGCCTCTCCAGACACTGGCCAGTAAGTTCCTATTTTTGCTTCAAGTAGTATGAACTGGGTTTCTGCCACTTGCAACTGAAAGAATCCTTACTAATACACAGGCTGCCTCTTATTATTATTTTGTTGTTGTTGTTTAAGGCAGTCTTGCTCTGTCACCTAGGGTAGAATGTAGTGGCAAGATCTTGGCTCACTCCAACCTCCGCCTCCTGGGTTCAAGCAATTCTCATGCCTCAGCCTCCAGAGTAGCTGGGACCACAGGTCCGTATCACGCCTGGCTAATTTCTGTATATTTTAGTAGAGACAGGTTTTCGCCATGTTGGCCAGGCTGGTCTTGAACTCCTGACCTCAAGTGATCTGCCCACCTCGGCCTCCCAAAGCGCTGGGATTACAGGATGAGCCACTGCCCCCAGCCTCTCTTATTCTTTTTATGTTAAAAGACTTATAGAAACTACCCAACGAGGGGAATCGAGGCACTGCCTGGACTGACAAAAATGATTTCAACAGATGCAGGGCACTTTTCCAGTCTTGCTGAAATGGGTCTGCTTTGTCCTCTGCATCCTCTCATCATCACTGGGTTTTCAAGGTGCATCTGCCATTCAAAGGCATTTTATATGTAACAAACATAATCGTCTACCCTAGCTCATGTACCTGACTTCAAACATTAAAAGAGAACCGGCCTGCAAGAATGCATACTTCACCACTTTCTGATTTCTCTTTAATAACCAGAATCATCTGCATAATACACAGCATGATGCTAAGTCTTCATCAAGGGTCTCTGACATCAGGGCTTATTCAAACGACATCAAGATGTGTTCAAAGCATTTGCTGTGCTCTACAAGGCAAAAGGCAGCAGAGCAGAAATACATAAACAAAGCCAGACACAGTAGCTCACACCTGTAATCCCAGCCATTCGGGAGGCTGGGGAAGGCAAATCACCTGAGGTGAGGAATTCAAGACCAGCCTGGCCAACATGGTGAAATCCCATCTCTACTAAAAATACAAAAATTAGCTGGGCATGGCGGCAGGCGCCTGTAATCTCAGCTACTCGGGAGGCTAAGACATGAGAATCACTTGAACCCAGAGGCAGAGGTTGCAGTGAGCTGAGATCGCGCCACTGCACTCCAGCATGGGCAACAGAGCCAAACTCCGGCTCAAGAAAAAAAACCAAGAAGAAATATGCAAACAATTCTTTACATCTCTCCCAGAGTATGCGGCATTGTGTTTTGTACACAGTAGGACCTCAGCAAACACTGACTTGGGAGGAGAAGTCAAGCTTTAATATATTCAAAAGTTGCCCTTGGACACACACCTGATGTCCCTGGATAAAAAATCCCCCCCAGGTTTCAAGCAGTAGGCGATGCATACAGCCTTTGGCCTCTGCCACGAAGAGGAAAAATGAAAGGCTTTTTCTTTCATTCTCAGTATCAAAAACCAGACCTATAAAAAGTGCCCTTCATAATGGATATCAGCTCCTCACTCTGAGGGCACTGACTTAGTTTTTCATGACACTTGAGACCACAGGGCTTCCGACATTTGCTGGCTGTCACGCAGAAGAAGCAAATCACAGGCTACACTTTCTCGCCTTCTGTTAATAAGGTGCAAACTCATGGGGGAGGTTCTAACTGCAGCTTTGTCCTCGAGGAAGTCTGGGGTTTACTGGGGCAATGATCCCTCTCTAAGGATGCGCAACATTCATGGAACGATGGCAAGGATTCTCACTGCCAGGGGAGTCCTAACAGAGGCAAAGCCCCTGAGTGAGTTGAAGAAAACTATGGAGAGACCATATACTGGCTGGATGCAGTGGCTCATGCCTATAATCCCAGCACTTTGGGAGGCCGAGGTGGGCAGATCACTTAAAGTCAGGAGTTCAAGATTAGCCTGGCCAACATGGTGAAACCCCATCTCTAATAAAAATTCAAAAATTAGCCAGACGTGGTGGCATGCACCTATAATCCCAGCTGCTCAGGAGGCTGAGGCAGGAGCATCACTTGAACCCGGGAGGTGGAGGTTGCAGTGAGCTGAGATGGCACCACTACATTCCAGCCAGGGGGACACAGTGAGACTCTGTCTCAAAAAAAAAAAAAAAAAAAGACAGACCATATACCGTTCATTGGTTATGTTTTTCGAAACACAAAAAACTTAATAGCTTAGTTGAAGCCTCATGGTGCTTTAAAGCATGGCATGGGCAAACAATTTCTAATCAGTTCCCCCAGCCCCTTTCACAGCAGCCACCTGAGCCAGGCCACACAGACCCTGAGGTCTGCCATCATGGGGGACACTGCTCCCCTGCCAAGAGGAAAACTAATAAAGCAATCAAAGTCAAGACAAAGGAAGAGCATGTTTCAAGTCAATGAAAAAAAACCTGTCAGGCTAAAGGCCCTGGGAGCCTCCTTCCCAGGAAGAACTGCAAAACAATTAATTCTGAAAACCAGTTCATTTGTAAGACGATGACCTTAAACATCCCCTAATTAGAGCTATGGTAAGTTGGTCTACTTTAAAATTAATTTTTAAAACAAACCCTATAGTTCCACTTTCTGTGGCAGAGCCATGATCTAAAATTAGCAGCTAATAAAGTCCTTCTCTCAATGACTTTCGGGGTGGTGGAGAGCCCCGTGTAAACATTCAAGGAGACGGGCGGGAGCCGTGCTGTCAAGGGCAGCGACTCGCATGGCCTACCCGGCACAGGTAGGCACGGGCATACACGGACACCAGCGGGTCTCCGATCCCTCTGATCATGCATGTCAACCGAGGCAGGCACTCTGAAATTCCCCTGCAAGAGACAAAAAGAGGCCAGCATTACACTTGACGAGAGAACTCGCTGTTCTTTTATTTTAAAATAAAATGAAAACTTCCTAAATTTGGGGGCGGGAGAAAAAATCAAGTTTCAGTAACAAACCAAGGTCAGAGTTTCAGTTTTCTAAGGCAATGTAACAACAGTCTTTCTCTTCTCATACAATTCATTCATTGAATGATTTCTTTCCTCTTTATAATTTGCTCAGTGCTGCAGGCTAACCACATTTTTTCCCCACTCAAGGTCACATTTATTTCACTAATTTTAACAGTTTTTGTCTCCAATTATTTTCCATCGACTGCGCAGCCCTTGATCTTCTCTCCACATCTATTTCGTTTGCCACAGATATACTGTCCTGTATCCTGTCCCTTCCTTGAATCTCAGGCTGGCATCTGGCATCCCCACCACCACCAATATGAATTATGATTTATTACTCCTGCAACATGTCTTCCCTCTGCGTAAGGCCTTATCCTCCTCCAACTGGTGAGGCAAAATAACTGTTTCTTCAGAACCCGTATTATCCCCCAAATGACTCCAGGCATCCCTAGATCCAAATCCAACACATTTGAGATAAATTCTAAATCCAATCAGAAGAGCTATCTGTGGAGCACCGTCAATCAGTCACTCCCTGGCTTCAAGGAATTTATTATCCAGCTATCTAACATGACTCAGCATTTCACCTGCCCTGCAGAAGGCAGCTCTGGGTCCCCCATGTCCTGTAACTACTCTCAAAACACTGAGATAAATTAGAGTAGCATGGGCCTAAGCCACTAAGGGCAAAGGCTTCTGATTCTGATGTCATCAATTTCATCATCATCATCATCATCATCATCATCAACAGCAGTAGCCAACACTGATCACAGGCCCACTGTGTGCCAGGTATGATTCTCATTGTTGCAAGTGTGACCCAAAGGACCCCTGAGACCTCTTTTTGAGGGCCATGTTCCCAGGAGAGGGAGCCTGAGGTTCTGAGGCTCTAAATAATTTGCTCAAGATCATACATCTAGTATCGGTAAAGCCAAGATTCAAATCCAGTTGAGCTGATCTTCCATGACCAACTCAATCAACTTCTTCAGGTTTGAGCTTTCTTCGCCCTAATATGGGCATGAAGATGGTTTCTCTACTTCACTAAGTTTCTTTTGGATTCAATGAGAAAATGCACAGAAGTTGCTTAACATACACTAAGTACTCAGTGAATAATGCCTACTATTACATTGCCATTACTGTGTGTGTAACACACGGGACATTTTCAGAAATGTTATGGTCCTAGATATTACAGAAGAGCCTTACGTTTTGGAGAGGAATTTGTTACATTTCAGGATGGATGCTTCCACGTAACTACAAAAACATCCTGTTAAGGAAGACATTTTCCAGAAGGTCTATTCTCTATGGAGAAAAGACTAAACAGTCCATGAACAGAAGAAGGCAGGTCTTAGGACATGGGGACCACAATGGACCTCAACAATCCAGAGAACCAAGGGAGCTTATGGTTTCTACATATGGTTTCCAAAGTTTCATACTTATTTAAAATAAATTGCGGAAAATGTTACATGTTGACTCACAGTTGCATGATGAAATATAAACTGGGTTTTGAGTATTTCTAACCAAGGCTTTATGGGGAAAGAATGAACTTCAGATAACTAAGATGCAACTTATGTATAAGTCGAACTCTCTGTTCTTCAATACTGGCATTTGCCCTGCAAAGCTTGATCCTTTCTTTCAAGCTCTTGGAATCAGAGAAAACACAAATATAAAGCATTTTAATTGAGAGAATTAATGTGGGAATGTTCCTCAAGGAAACAAAAGCCTGACACACGGCATCATATTCAAAGTAAAAGACAATACGCAGAACACACTGGCTCACATCTGTAACCCCGGCACTTTGGGAGGCCCAGGCAGGGTGGATCATGAGGTCAGGAGTTCGAGACCAGCCTGACCAACATGGAGAAACCCTGTCTCCACTAAATGCACAAAATTAGCTGGCATAGTGGTGCATGCCTGTAATCCCAGCTACTTGAGAGGCTGAGGCAGGAGGATCACTTGAACCCAGGAGGCAGAGGATGCAGTGAGCTGAGATCGCCCCATGCACTCCAGCCTGAGCAACGAGAGCAAAACCTTATCTCAGAAAAAAAAAAAAGTAAACGAAAACTATTTGGAGAGAGCAAGAGTCCAAGGGCTTCTACAATGTGGCTTGCCCTGTATTTTCAGGTTGGAACTGTAATGGGATCAAATTTTCAACGAGAATGTCAGGACATCCCATCACATGGCTTCTATTAACAGTACAACTCTTTGGCCTATCTTCAAAATCATCAGACAATAAAAAAAGGATACAATCTCGGGATGAGTTCCCTGATGGAAGCAATCTTGAAAAACCAATTTAGGCATGTTTCCTTGGCCGTGTCATTTGCATTCTCTGGAGAGAAGTGATCTGTAATACAAAAATAAGACTCGTCAGCCCTCCTAAATCTCAGGATCTTTTATAGCTGCTGTGAGTCGCAGGATAGGAACACATTATCCTGGAGCAGAAAAGGGTGTGGGGTACTCAGCCTGTGTGTTTCCTTCCAAATATCATTATTAGGAAGCAACTGATGATAACAATAGTTTACACAAACATGGGCTTTCTAAGTGCCAAGTGCTGTTCACAGTGCTTTACAGACAGCTCACCCGATCCCATATAGCAACCTCTGAGGTTATGTACTTTTATTACCTTCTTTTATAGACGCAGAGACCAAGGCACAGAGGAATGTAGTGACTCACCCAAGGCACACAGCAAGCAAATCTCCGAGCTGGAATTCAACCCAGGCAGTCGGGCCCTGCAGCCTACATTGTTAGCCACTGCCTCTAATACAATCCAGAGGTTCTTGGTTACCCACCAGTAACTAAGACAACATTGCTGAGAATTCCAGATGCCTCAGGGGCCTGAGACTGCAACATGAAACATGATCTAAGCTTTCGCTCTACACATCACTTGGGTCAGAGGAAGGTAAAGCAAGGCCCCTGTGGTGAGAAATCAGCCAGAATTATGTTGCCAGCTCAAGACTGGCTCCAAGACGCGTCACCTTGTGGTGAAACTGACAGTTTACTCCATTAGCTATTCTCTTCCTCTTTAATTAAAGAACGTGCAGTTTTTCTGCAGGGCACAGGGCTATCCCTGCAGCTAAGTGTGGTCCTGTGGGTCAAGTTCTAGTCCCAGGATATATAAACAGAAGGGCAACTTCTGAGAAGTATCTTCAAGGGAAGGGGTCTGCCTTCCCTCACTCCTTCTTCCTGCACACTGACTGGAATGCAGACATGACAGCTGGAACCTCTGCAGCCATACTGAATCATGAGAGCAACAAGACACAAGTGAGGATCCTTGGTACCAGGGGCTAGCTGCCCCATCAGCCCTGGCCCTCATTACTGTTATTTCGACTTTTCTGGAACTGATACCCAACCCTGATTTTGACATACATATTTTTAAACAGCAGAAATGTATTTCTCACAGTTCTGGACTTGACATAATCTTAAGGAATGAAAGAGAATATGAAGAAATGAAAGAAAAAAACAAAACATCAACATCATGAAGGCCGCTGTTAAACTCTCATATGGAAATGATTTCTTCTAAATGATTTTGGCAAAGATCCCACCACTGGGTGTTTGATACTCTTAGATTAATTCAAAAAGAGAGAAGCTGGCCAGGCACAGTGGTTCACACCTATAGTTCCAGCTACTTGGAAGGCTGAGGTGGGAGGATCAATTGAGCCCAGGAGTTTGAGGCTATGATCGAGCCACTGCACTCCAGCCTGGGCAGAGTGGGACAGAGTGAGACAGAGTGAGAAAGAGCAAGACCTTGTCTCAAAAAAATAAATGAATAAATAAAAGGTAGAAGTTAATTACTTTAGAATATAGCAAATGATTCTAAGCTTGTTGGCTCTCATCCTGTTTTGCAATGAGTCATTTTCATCCCTGATTCTGTCACTTGTTGGTATCTTACGGTGATCAAAATTTGTATAGAATCAGCAAAAAAGACAAACTTCTAGGTACTTCACTAGCAGAGAACAGTCACTAATCACAACTGCAGATATTTTGAAATTGCAATCTCCTCAATCTATTTTTGGATGTCTGGCATGCTTCATTCACTTGAGAACTATTTGCTTACCATTTTCAAAAGGATGGGAAATGACCATTTTCCCCTTTCTGGCCTGAATCTGTACACATGAAGTAACTTTTTTCCTACTTTCAAGAGATCCAGACAGAAAAAGATAGCAGTTATTCTTAAATTCATTTGTCAATCTTCTCTTTGGGGAAAGGGAGGAGCAGTGTTAATTTCCCTTCCTATGACTGAATTTTGTGGCTTAAAATCCAAAAGCAAAAATAGGTCTCTGAGATCACCTACAAAATCTCTCACTCTATAGCTGCAGGAACCGAGGTTCAGCAAAGGCTAAAACAAACAGTGGTTCAGGTTGCCTGAAAGAGTTGGAAATCAGGCTAAAGGCGGGTTGCCCTGCATACATACATTGACTGCAAGCTATACGACAATCTGCATACACCAAAACAGAATCTTTAGGCTTTCCTGCCAGCTCAAGAGATAATTTAGGAAAAGGATTATGTTACGCAGGACTTTAAGATCTTATAGCAAACTAAATATTATATTCCCTTACTTCATGTGCCCAACACAGATGCTTTAAGGCCCAACTAAAGGTGATGCTCTAGGCTTTGGGGAGACAACAGTGCACACGGTAGATGGGAGACAAATGATAAACAGGAAAAAAAAAATAAGCAAGCAAACAAGTAAGATAACATCTAACAGCAGTCAGTACTGTTAAAGATATTAAACTAGGTACTGGAATAAAGAGTGACTTGAGTGAGATTTAGGGGAGGAGGCTCATTAGATGCAGTGGTCAGAGAAGGCTCCCACAGAAGCGACATTTGAGCTGAGCCCTGAATTAGGAAAGGGAGTCAGCCATGCCTAGATATGGGAGAAATGTATTTCAGGCAGAGAAAACAGCAAGTGCAAGGCCCTGAGGTAGGTATACCTCACTATGGTCAAAGAACAAAAAGCAAGCTAATTTGCTGAGGAGAATGGGGTGTGGTCAGCATCAGAAGCCAGTTCATGCAGGGCTGAAGCCTTGGTGAGGAGTTTAAGAGTTTTTCTTTGAGTCGGAGTTTCACTCATGTTACCCAGGCTGGAGTGCAATGGCACAATCTCGGCTCACCGCAACCTCCGCCTCCTGGGTTCAGGCAATTCTCCTGCCTCAGCCTCCTGAGTAGCTGGGATTACAGGCACGCGCCACCATGCCCAGCTAATTTTTGTATTTTTAGTAGAGACGGGGTTTCACCATGTTGACCAGGATGGTCTCGATCTCTTGACCTCGTGATCCACCCGCCTCGGCCTCCCAAAGTGCTGGGATTACAGGCTTGAGCCACCGCGCCCGGCTATTAAGAGTTTTTCTAAACAAACAAGAACCCCCTGAAGGGTTCTGAGCACAGGAGTGGCATGACATGACACAGTTTATACTTTGGCACCTGGGTTGCTATGTGGGGAATCCTTCAAAATCTGGAAATTAATTCAGAAGATACTTCAATATAACCAAGAACAGAGGTTCTCTTTCTAGCACCCACTTATTTTTCTTTTACGGTGCTTTTTTTCAAACCTGAACTTCTGTGGATATTTTAAGAGGAGGCAGGAGACCAATGAATCTAGTTTTTTCATTTATTTGCCAAGTCTCTACCCTAGCAGCAAGAGGTCTCTTTACATAACAGTGTTATAGGGATTGGCACCATCTTAGTTAGCATGTGCTGGAATGGCCGGGTCAGTTAAGGCCACTGCTTATCCCCATGTGGCCCACAACAGCCACAGGGCAAGACTGAAGATGGGAATGCCGAGAAGATGATATGGGAACCATAATACAATAAACCCAAATGATTTCTCCCAAACTGGAAATAAAATGATTTGACGTCAGAGTCCCTGGCCTCTTTACACATATGCTGGATTAAGAACTGTTGAGAGAAAATGACCGCATCTAGTAGTGTGTGCTTTTCATGCACCCAAAAGATACTGTGTCTTTCTCAACTCAGAAGAGCTATACCTTAGTTAAAACTCCTGAAGGCAAAGGGCTCAAGTATGAAATTCACCCAAGAGAACTTGATTCAAATGGAAAGAATGAGTACAGATGCCACCAAATTTCTCTTCACACATAATCTCTTCGGGCAGAATTCTGCACAGTAGATTTCCGAAGCTTTCATGATAATTATACTTAAGAATCATTCCTCAGATCACCAACAAACTTTGAAAAAAATAATCTACTGCTTTTTTCAGATTCTTGGAACGGGGGTGAACACAAACAGATGAAGATTTACAAACAATGATATCATTTAAAGAAAAAAACAACCATGATTTTCTTTGCTCAAGGTCAAAAATAGTTATTTAGAAAGGAAAGAATTTTGGTGATAAAAGTGTTATAATTAACATATCTAAACAAGGACTGACCTGTTGTTTTGAACTTTTAAGTTTAGGCAGGGAGTTAATTATTAGTAATTTTCCTTAATTGGCCCTAAAGTGTTGTTTGTATAGTCACTGAAGACTGGGAGAAGGAAGATTATATTGCAGTAGAGACAAACTCAAATGCCTCTGGGGGTAAGGCAGATAAATATGAAAATTTTAAAGAGGCTGGGTATACAACAATACGAAGAATTAGAGCCTGTATCAAAAAATTTTTTTTAATGATGTTGTTGCCAAAAAATAAATAAATACCTATTTTGGTTCAATCCCACCTGTTGGCTCAAGTTTACTGCCGATGATATAGCATGTTACATGCTGGCAAGTGTGAATTAATTGAACGGATTTGATTGGGTGTGGTGGCTCAAGCCTATAATCCCAGCACTTTGGGAGGCCAAGGCGGACAGATCACCTGAGGTCAGGAAGGCGTTCAAGACCAGCCTGGCCAACGTGGTGAAACCCCATCTCTACTAAAAATACAAAAATTAGCTGGGTACGGTGGCATGTGCCTCTAATCCCAGCTTCTCAGGAGTCTGAAGCAGGAGAATCACTTAAATCCGGCAAGTGGAGGTTGCAGTGAGCCAAGATCGTGCCACTGCACTACAGCCTGGGCAACAGAGCGGGACTCCATCGCAAGAAAAAACATAATAATAATTTTTTTTTAAATGGATGCAGATTTCTCAAATCCTCAAGCTGGCAGAGAAGGACTTTCCTTTCTACTTGGGCTGGCCTCTGCCTGCCTTTCCCGGATCACTGCCTCCAACCCTGGGATGCCCAGAACATGGGAGGAACTGCTGAAAAAAACATGATCACAGGTGTGACACAGTGGCATGGAGGGTCCCAAAGAAAAACCACATGAGCCACATTAAAAAGGTAAAATAAAACTGGGGAAATTAATTTTAATCACGTACTTCAGCCGGATTCATCCAGAATACCATTTCAACACGTAATCAACATAAACACTATTAGTGAGCCACTTTACCATCTTTTACTTGTACCGAGTCTTTGAAATTCAATGTCTTTTTTATGACTTACAGCGCATCTCAATTTGGACTGGCCATATCTCAAGTGCTCAAGAGCCACATGTGGCCGGTGGCTGCTGTATTGGACAATGTAGGTGCAGCGCTAAGAGCAAGGCTCTCACTAGCTGGTGGCAGAGCCCTGGGAAAAACTCTTCCATACTGGGTCTGCCCATCTATGATAAAACAAGATGGCTCCTAAAAGCATTTTGAGAACTAAAGGCCTGTAGAGTTCTGTCTCTTTCTTTCCGACAAACACGCACATTAAACAGTATTAAAAAGACAGATAGGTAGGCCAAGCATAGTGGCTCATACCTATAATCCCAGCACTTTGGGAGCCTGAGGTGGGATGATCGCTTGCGCCCAGGAGTTTGAGAGCAGCTTAGGCAACATAGGCAGACCCCGTGTCTACAAAGATGAAAAAATAATCCCAGCATTTTGGGAGGCTGAGGCAGGCGAGTCATGAGGTCAAAAGATCAAGACCATCCTGGCCAACATGGCGAAACCTTGTCTCTACTAAAAATACAAAAATTAGCCGGGCATGGTGGCACATGCCTGTAGTCCCAGTTCCTCAGGAGGCTGAGGTAGGAGAATTGTTTGAACCCAGGAGGCAGAGGCTGCAGTGAGCCAAGACTGTGCCATTGCACTCCAGCCTGGTGACAGAGCGAGACTCGGTCTTCGAAAAAAAAAAAAAAAATTAAATTAAAAAAAAATTAAATTAAAAAAAAAAAAAGGGCTAGCGATAGCGGCTTATACCTACATTCCCTGTACTTTGAGAGGCCAAGGCAGACCAATTACTTGAAGTCAGGAGTTTGAGACCAGCCTGGTTAACATGGTAAAACCCCCATCTTTACTAAAAATACAAAAATTAGCAGGACATGGTGGTAGGCGCCCGTAGTCCCAGCTACTAAGGAGGCTGAGGCTTGAATCC